TGGTGAAATTATCATTTTGATATGACAGATATATGCCAAGAAAATACTAGCACTGACAATACTATCATGTTATCAAAGCCAAACTCCAGGCGTATATGAAGAACGCCAATAAATGCAGCTAGGTGTTCATTGGGGGGAAAAACAATCTTGCCTTTTTAAAGGCAACAAGTGAAATATCTAAATCTGCATCTTGTAATCTTCTGTAACACTGAGCTCGGACTGGAAGAGGGAAGGCCAAAACCAGGAGCCAATCAGGGGCGCTGCTTCATATGTGGGTTGATTAGGAAGAAGCTGATGGGAGAGGAGAGGAGAGCAGAGGGGTGAGCTCATTAGTCTGCTGCTGCTCCTTCACTGGCCAGTCAAGCTTGGGGCAAGGAGGTGGCGTTGTTGTACTGCTGATCATAATAAACACCAGGTCCGCAATGTGCTGTCTTGTGTGTGTGTGCGCGTACAATTTTTATTTGTAAGCAGCTTCTGCATTTTTTTTCTATTGCAGGGTCGGCAAACTTCTTCCCTCCAACTGTGGTGAGATTACAAATCCCATCATGCATCTGCCTTTGGGAGTCATGCCTAGGGTTGCCACCTGTACAGGCTGAACCCCAGACACAAGATGTCAGGCAGACAGGGGCAGCCAAAATTAAGATAGGGGATACTGGCCCCCCACTGAAAATAGGCTTGCTGGTGATATTTACATATAAAAGGGTGGCGTTATTTACATATGCATAAGCCAAAACTCATTCTCCCAAAAAATGTCCGCTCGTCGCTGGAGTGTGTTTGGGTTTCGCTTGAAGAAAAGGTGGCAACCCTAGTCATGCCTGTGGCTGCCAGAGTCTTGCAATGACTCATGGGATTTGTAGTTTCCCCGAGGCCGGGCCTCGGTGGCCTTGTGGGAAATCCGGGCCTGGTTGCACCACAGCTGGAAGGCTAGTTCACACCATATGCAGTTGTGATGCAATCCGTTCAGTTTGACTGCTGCAGCCGAAATACATCACAATGCTTTCCTATGGGCTTTCTCGTGCTGTATTCACACCATTGCAGTCTGTTCAGATGCAGTCTGTTCTATTGTATAAAATATATGCAGATTAACCACCAGAGGGAGCTCTGCAGCTGACTGAACCTTAGTTAGCCTAGAAAATCGCAAACAGGAAGGTTGACAGGTAAAGAGAAGTGAAAGTTTTTGGAAGTTTCAGATTTTTATCCGAAGAGATATGCAAAGTCCCTCTTGCAAATTAAAATAAACTGTGTGTGTTTTGGTTTTTTTCTTTATTATACACACAGGTGTGTAGTTTTCTATGGTCCCATGTACAGCACTGCATTCAGATTTTTTGGGAAAAAAATAAGACGTTGGGACGTAGGCGACTCCAATAGAGTGCATTTGCGCTCTTGCCGCCTAGTGTCCTTCATTGCTAGAAAGCTCATGCATAGTCAAAGCTTCCTGGTTCACAATTCAGCTTCCTGTGTCACCTTTCCGTCTCCCGTCCTCCTCATTGGACAGTGAATCACCCCCACTGCCACCTCTGTCCAATGAGGTAGAAGGCTGACCCAGGAAGCAGAAATGGCAAACCAATAAGCCCAGAGGTGTATGACAAGGCTAGCTGGCTTTAGTGACAACTTCTTCAGCCAGCTAGTTCATGTGTGTTTCGCAAGCCTGATGTATACAGTATGTATTTCAACCATGTATTTGGCCACTTGCCTGGATATTTTTTTTTACATTTCAGGTAACCTATTGGGCCACACAGGGAGTGCATTGTTTTTAGCGAGTCACCTGTCATAGGTTTTGAGAGAAGGAGCAGTAAACTGCCACCAATGGTTGACCCCCCAAGGTAATTGCAAATGATACACAGATATTCAGATACACTGCTTTAAAACATTAATCATATTATTTAAATCAAGCTGCTTTGTTGTATTACTACTTAAATTACAAAGATTAAAGCCCAACGTCAGTATCCTCTCCGACACAGTTCCACACACTGCTTACACTCTCCACATTCTAGTGCTGCTCCTAGTGTCTGACACCCAGCAACATTTAACTCACTTCCGGTATGCCCAGGGCGTCAAGGACCCACTCCTGAGTGTTTGTCATCTAGACACCTTGGGATTGTTGCGCTTCTCTAGGCAGCATTCAGGACCACCCGTTGTTGGAGGACAAAGAGGGATGTGATGCCACATGACCAACCCAAAGGAAAAATGTACATGCCCAACGAGGTCGGTGGAAGGGGGCAAACTGGAGTTGTGCTCTAAAGTATATCTCCAGCACAAATTATTTTTTCCCCCAATTTTGGATATGGTGGGGTAGGTGTAGAAATTATTTTCTCCTTGTAACAATGTTGTGGGGGGGTTCCCTTTACTTCCTGCTCTGTCTGACGCACATAGAGTAAGGTCTGAAAAACACTTTGAGAGTGCTCAGACCGCAATAAAAGGTTTTAGTTTATGTTTAACCCCCCCAAAAATGAAAAAAATGGCTGGAGTTGAGCTTTATATTATTGGTTCATAAAATTCAAGTGCAATTAAAGGCAAACCTTGGTTTTTCTTTAGTTTGGGATAGAATGGTGAGGAGTAAACCATATGCTGAGCTTTTATTGTGGTCCTTGTCCATGCTGAAGAGAATCATCCTCTCCATTTGTTCTGAAGATCATTGTCCTCATGAAAGAAAGTGAAAAGTCCAAATCCAACCTAAGATGAGATTTCCTCTCACTTCCTGTTGTCTTTCCAAGGCAAGAAGGAAGCCCATCCCTACTCTATCCAAAACTAAAAAAAAAAAAAAAAGTTTTCACTATATATTTTACCAGGTTAAAGTGACACTAAACTCCGGAGTTAAGTCTTAAAAATACATTCAAGTACCTTAACTATTAACAGAAATGTATCTTATTTGTGTATCACTCGGCTGTAGATCCTCCAATCATCTCTGAATTGGTGCTGACACTGTCCTTCCTTCTGGAGGGGGCTATTTTTGTTCCCCATGATCCCTGTGTGTGTTGTAAAGTCACAGCTCCAAGCTCCCTCCCAGGATAGACTACAATCTCAATACCAAAAAATGAGATTGTAGCCCATCCTGGGAGCAAGCTTGGAGCTGTGACTTTACAACACACACAGGGACCATAGGGAACAAAAGTAGCCACCCTCCAGAAGGAAGGACAGTGTCAGCACCAATTCAGAGATGACTGGAGGATCTCCAGCCGAGTGATACACAAATAAGATACATTTCTATTAATAGTTAAATCTTTAAAATACATTTAAGTACCTTAACTCCTGAGTTTAGAGTCACTTTTAATATACTGTATATTTATATTACATTTATTGCCTAATATTATCGCAAAATTGTCTATATAAATAAACCATTTTCTTTCAGTAGACCTTTCGTGTTCGTGTCATTATTTCCTCAGCCATTTAAATAAAGGGCCCTCCTGGATGAGACCTGTTTGTAATAGAAGCCAGAACACAAGCACTAACCATCTATGCAAAGACAACCAACCGCCTTCTAAAATCTAGGAAACCCTCACAAATGATGAGCGGTTCTGATTGATATTGATTATTTAAAGGAAACAATCATTTTTTATGAGGGAAATGTATTTATTTTACAAGAATAAACTGCTTTTTCTTAATTATATCAATTCTTTAAAAAGACCCAACCATGACACTTGTGTCACAGAGTATTATATGAAATACTGAAGAAGCTACTTGCCTTCAGGCTGTCTCTCTGTAACTGAAACTTTGTACACCTATATCACCAGGGCAGATAGGTTCAGTGACTTTGCCTGGACTAAGATGATCTGATCAGTCTGCTGCAGGCAGGAAGAAGCATGTCCTCAGTCTCCTCCCCCAGGGATCATTCAAACTGAAAACTGTAGCAAGTCACCCAGTGAGAGGCTGCAACCAGTGGCGTATCCAGGTTATGGCACATGCGCTGGATGCCACTTGAAAGGGGGGGGATCACTCAGTGGGTCAGCAAAAGTTTTCCGACCCACAAAGACACATTATTTCCTCTCCCATATACATTTCCCAGGGGCACTCTGGCTGGTGTCCTGCACAGCTCCTGGCAACCAGTGACGTCACTACTGGGCGGGATGCCATCCAAAGCATCCCAGATTGCTAAGAGCTTGGTGAGCCATATACACTGCCCTGCCCAGCTCTTAGCAACTGGGGTGGGTTGGGAGATGTGTGGGATGCCGGCCAGAGCATCCCTGGTTGCTAAGTGCCTGGTGGGCCATACACATCGCCCTCGCCAGCTCTTAGCAACCAGGGTGGGTTGGGAGATGTATCTGACGCTAGCCAGAGCATCCCAGGTTGCTATGAGCTGGACCGGGAGATGTATATGCTCCTTTAAACATCTCCCCATGCAGCTCTTATCAACTTGGGGTGCTCTTTCCAGTGTCCGGCCCAGCTCCTGTCAAGCAGTGATTTCACTGCTTGCCAGGAGCTGGGCGGGATGCCAGGGGTGCAGTTTGTCTTAAATACGCCTCTGGCTGCAACAGTGACTGATAGTGCTTGATCTCTCAGCCAAGAACATTACAGGCACCAGAATTTTACATGATTGTCGGCTCTAAGCTGGTATTTCAGTCACAGAAGTAGACACTGACCCTGAATTATGGCTAAACAAAGATGGCTCCGTCCTTCTGGAGAGAGAAGCAGATAAAGGCATTGGGGGTGGTACTGTGATCTCTGCAAGAGTTACTAAATACTGGAAGTGTTACTTACTTAGCATGCATGGCCTTAGATTGAAAGATATATAGTCAAAGGTTCACTTTAAGTCACAGTTGGGGGGGTGGGGGGGAGGCGGTTATACCACTCCCGCAATATTAAATTGCAGCATGTGTATTAGACCATTTCATAATTGTAAAGGCAACCCAGGACCGAGGAAAATGCAGATGAGCCCTCTAGCAAGGGCAAGAATACTTTTGCAAAATGCTTTACAATGCCAAATAAATAGAAGTGGGCTCTATGACTATTGGCTGGCTATACCAGCCCCTCCTTTCCCTTGTGCATTAATGTGAGGACTTGGCTGGGCATCCTGCATTAGACTGACTCATTCCCAACACTTGCACCTCATCATGAGATCGATCCTGGAATTGCTATGTGTGCTCTCAGCTTTCACGGCAACTGGTGAGTCTGCTCCCTTCAAATCCGTACCCTGCCTTGCATTTATCTACAGAACGAACCAGCTGTATTTTATAATTGTCCCACTGCGAATCAAGCAAAGAGGAATGCCAGTCAACCTGCGGTCGTAGATTCATTCAGGCTCAATTAATTCACTAAGCTATAAAGAATATTATTTGTTGCAGTGATCAACGTTTTCATCTATGTGACTGTTCCTGTTATCTGGTGAATGCACCAGCTGCGCGTCGTAAGATCTGAAGTGAGTCATTGCATGAAGATGCTGAATCGATAGAGTAGATGTCGCCAAAAAATATTCAACCACCATTGTAGTTGTAGGGGCCTTGCTATATGTAGGAATGTGCTTAAGATTGTTGGGTTCTGCTTGGATTTTTTGGGCTGCTGCCAGCTTGGATGTGCCTTTGTTTTGGGTGTGTCTCGGCTCAAGTTGTTTACTGGATGTTGAGCATGGTGTGCCCGTAGGCAGTGGTGTATTCTGGTTTGGGGCTGCCCTAGGCAAGATGAAACTAGGGCCCCCCCTCCATACTAAATGTGCAGGATCTCAGGGCTGTTGCCCATAGGGATGGTTTTCCCTGGGCTAAGGCCTTACGGGTTGTGTGATGGAGGAGTTAAGTCCCACAATTAGAGCACTTCCCTCAATAAAGCTCTCCGTCCTCTTGTTCCTTGTCCAAGCTTTGTTCTATGGGCTCTTGCCCATGGGGATGGTTTGCCCCGACCTTAAGAGTTGTGTGATGGAGGAGGAGTTATGTCCCGCAATTAGAGCACATCCTTCTTTCAACCTTTCCACCAGCAAAATTCTAGAACCCTTTCATCACTCACCTAACTTCATAGACCAGCCAGTCCATGAGGACATTGTCCTAGCTGTGTGAGCTGTGGAAGTGATAAGTAAATGAGGCAACATTCAGCATGAGCTAAATTCTCAGGGCTGTTACCCATAGAAATGGTGTGCCCTGGGCTTAAGCCTAAAGGATTGTTTGATAGAGGAGGAGTTGTGTCCCACAATCAAAGCACATCACCAAGTAAAGCTCTCTGCCCTCCCCTCCTCCTTTTCACTTTTTCACCAGAAAAAAATCCTATAGCCCTTTTTACACTCATCTAACTTCACTGTCCATGACCCTCATCAGGGTTGCTTCCATGAGTGATGAGTGGTGGTGATCCAGTGGTGCCAGTCATGACACCTTCATGCTCTGCAAGCTTCTGAAGCCTAAGAGGTCCCCGCCACTGAACTGCCAATTTAAGGTGTGCATGTCACCCAGGTGTTGTAAAATAATGTAAGTATAGATATAATGGGGAAAAAAGATGTACAAAAAACCACTTTCAAGCAATCCCCATCCCCAAGACAGCGGTTACCGGATCCCAGAAACAGATGACAAGCTCAGGAGAGTGTATACAAAATAATATAAGAAATTATGATTTCATGATGATTTTATCAAGGATACTCCTCACACCCAGCATATACTGTATGTCTAATGTATATATGATCCTATGTGTCGTGCATGCATCCATGGAATCTACCAGGGGTAACCACCTTCAGCCCTGGTGTAACTACAGATCCCACTATGGCTCTGCCTTTGGCATGCATGCCTGTGACTATCAGAGTCTTGCAATGCCTTATGGGACTGGAGTTTGCCTACCTCTGCTTTATACCTAGCCCTTCATGATGATGTTAGCCATTTTTAATCTCTCCTTGATATACTCTTTTTTCTCTCATGCACTAAGATTTAGATGAAGCTACCTGGTTGACCAGAGAAACACCTTTGATCTAAGAATTAGTAATGCTCCTTGAATCCCACCTGCCCTTATAATAACTGGGGGGACAGTATAGAGGCAGCCTTTGTAATATCCCCTTCGCACACCTACCGATGTACCCCAGAATCCAACGGGGGCTGGAACAACTGGTGGATGGCACCACAATATGCAATCTAGAAGGTATGTTGTCCGCACACCATTCTGCTTCGGAATGTCATCTTTATTCGTATTCCTTAAGCATGACATGTGAATGCAACGTTTCGGAGCCTCACAGGACCCCTTCATCCGCTTTACCTGACGAAGGGGTCCCGTGAGGCTCCGAAATGTTGCATATACATGTCATGCTAAAGGAATATGAATAAAGATGACATTCCAAAGCAGTATGGTGTGCGAACAACATACAGTATAGAGGCAGCCAACACATTTCGGGGATTAGCAAAATCATCCACTGAAGAATTCTTCTATGAATACTCGCGCACTGGACAATAGTATCCAATTCCAAGCCATCAAAGTCCTGATACAGGTTCTCCCTTAGCCATGGTGAAGGGGGTACCTGTTTGAGCCTCCAAAACACGTTAGCAGTTTATATACTGTACCCTCAGCCCAGATAAATCTGAGCATCTAAACGGAGTGTGGTGCTTCAATCCTCTCATCCTAGAGTGGTGACACAAGTGCATATTCTCAGGGCTGAGTGCAATTGTGTCAGTACGTTGAGGAAGTACATCCTATGGGCATCTTCAACAGGAAACTTTACAAACTTCGAGAGGTATATGGTTACTAGGATACTTATGGAAATTCAAAATAGAAATACATATTCATTTTTAGTTTTTGACCATAGATACCCTTTACGTTGGGAGGCGGGGTTAATGTCCAGAGTTCAACTTAAACCCATTTTTCATTCATGTAACATTTTTTACTCATTGACTGCAGGTTACTCGCTCACATGTAAGTTATGTGTGGGTCAAGGTTCTTCATCCTGCATTGGTACAAGTGAGACGTGTCCTCCCGACCATGGCTGTGGCGCTGTTCATACGGTAACCAAAATCGGTAGGTTAAATCATATGAAGCTATATAAATTGTTTACAGAAATTTGTTTGGGCATGTTTAAATACTAATAAAAGTAAACATCAAACCAAAACTTTTTTTTGTAGCCTCAATGGAGTAAAGAATAGCTCAACCCACTAGGGCAGTGGTGGCGAACCTATGGCACGCGTGCCAGGGAGGGACCGCGAGGCCCTTTCTGCTGGCAAGCGAGCCCACATTGACACTGTCTAATGAAATCGGCTTCTAAAGAAATCGGTGGGGGCGGGCGAGCGAGCAGGAGGAGAAGGGGGACGGAGCAGCAGGGGGTGGAGACAGAGGGAGATGGGGGCGGAGATGAAAGAGGATGTGAGGAGACAGGGACGGAGCGGCATGAGACAGGGGCGGAGACAGGGGGAGATGGAAGAGGCCTGTGAAGACAGGAGGCAAAGGCAGAGACCGCGATGGAGGAGGCGTCGCCAAGGGGCCAGTCGAGCGGCGAAGCTGAGACGATTGGGCGCCCAGGCAACAGTGAAGGCTGGGCTTCCCGTGTAAGGTAGGAGCACTGTGCTGGCAGGGCCCAGCATAGATTATGCACAGCCCACCAAAGAGTCACAGGTGGGCTGTGCAATACCTTTTGGTGGGCTTTGCAGGATCCACGGGGGGCTCTGCAGCTCTGCAGGGTCTCAGAGGGGCTGTGCAGGATCTGTGGTGGGCTTTGCAGTGTATCCAGCGACTGACAGGTCACGCAAAAAGTATTAAAAAAGAAAGGGGTGGGGTAAATTTAGTGGGGGGGGGGCCCGAGTTTTGCCTTGATACAAGGCAGTGATGTTGAACGTTTCTTAAACCTGAGCGCCCAAACTGCAATACTAAACTTATTTTCAGCGCTGGCACTTTTAGATAAATAAATTGATTTTGCGTCGCAGTTTGCGCACTCGGGTTCAAAAAGGTTTGCCATCACTGCAGTAGGGTATAGCCACCCTATTTGTCCTGGTGGCCATTGTCACACGGACAGGCAGGGGTGGGAATTAATACATTTTACGGCTGTAAAATCATCAGGGAGATTTTTGGATGAGTATACCTGGTGATTTTGGTGACATCTAAGAAGGGGTTTTCACTCACATTAGACAGATTTCCTTTCACTTCCTACTGTGTCTCTGGGAAAGGAAGTGAAGGAATATCCTCCAACGAGACCCAGGCATTGAAAAGAAAAAGCTTTAGCTGTGTACTTTAAAGAGAAGAAAATGACTGTGCTCCTTAAAACTTCCTCTAGATGAAAAAGAAATGAACATATATTTAATCTCATGCGTGCCTGTGAAGAAGTGTAACACCCCTGGTAGTATCAGCATTACCAATGGAAAGATACGGAGAGGAACCAGCTGTTGTCACACCAGCAACTGCATCCCGCCCGCGCCCAAGTGTAAGTTTTTTAAGTGGATTCAAATTGCTGCCATTGTTTTAACTTTTGATAACTATTGATGTCTAGATTTATTTCCCTAGAAAAAAATTATTTCCCATTAACATTCCAGTTTTCTTCTATTTGCTGAGAAGACCTCTAGGACCTATACTAAAGCACTTGAGTGGTTTCACACTCAAGGAAGGGCATCCACTGGCAATTAAGTTGTTTGGCACAATGTCTATATACCCGCAACCGTAATAGTAGGCCTATGACCGTGGTGTTCATAGGCCTTTCATCATACTAAAACTGCTCTTGAAATGACTGATCTGAGACAAAGGTGTAGGGATAGCTGAGCTGCTCAGAGAAACTTGATTGACTTTAGTACTTCTGCTTTGAGGATTAAAGAAGAACTATGGGGTTAGGGCTTTTCCCCATAGTTCTCCTAAGGGTAACGGGAGGACACAAACTAGCATCCACCCGTCACCCTAAGCTCAGTATTCCGCGAGCTACAGCTCGCGGTATACTGAGACGCCGCAGTATACCGCGAGCTACAGCTCGCAGTATACTGAGACGCTGCAGCTGAAATGGATCCCAACAATTATGTCTGGATCCGCCCAGCTGCGTGAGTGATAGCTGGCTCTGCCTATCTAGAGGCAGAGCCAGCTGTACCCGCCCCCTCCCTGTCCGTTCCGCCAGTCAGCGCTGGAGGATCGGAGCAGGGAGGGGGGAATCCAGCCCCTGCCCTGTCACGGCTCTCTGCAGTGACAGGATCGAGAAGTGGGCGAACACCGGTATGTGTTCGCTCACTTCCCGATCTACTGAGCCGACCTGTGACAATGAAACTGAACTAGAACTATGAGGATGAGTGAAAAGCACTCACCTCATAGTTCTCCTTTAATAGCTCCACAGTGCCTACATCTACACAGGTTACTGAGAGATTGTTTTAAAGCTCAATGCTGAATGACTATATCCTGGGCACATGTTCGCTTTAAGTATAGCCCAAGTATCCTAAGTCCCTCCTTGGACACCCAGGAAGACCAGCCACTGCTTCCTTAAATCCTGTAGTAGTTGGCATTGAAAAAATATTGGCTAACTATAAGCCCTGCCCACAAACACCAAAACTCTGGTCAGCCAAATCAACAATGGTCACCATCTAAATTATTTATTTGGAGTCACTCTAACGTTATTTTGTGCTGTTTCCAAAGTACCAGCAGATGACAAACAAGCCAATGGATTGTTCTGTGGCACCTGTGTGACGGAAGCTTCAGACAACTGCTCCGCGGAGGAGATGATGGAATGTACCGGAAAGGAAGACATGTGCCTCTTCCAAACCTCCGTTACCACAGGTAAACGTTGTCAAATAAGATAGATTTTAGATTGTAAGCCCTCAGGGGCAGGGCACTCCTTACCATCTTGTCTTGAATTGTATTGTAACTGTAATGTCTTCCTTATATTGTAAAGCGCTGCGCAAAACTGTTGGTGCTATATAAATCCTGTATTATAATAATGATAATAGACATATTTATTTTATCATTGTGACTTATATGAACATCAGATAACATTTTTGTAAAAACTCCATTTCCAAAGGTCCTAGTGAGGAACATATAATTCATACACAGAGATCCCAACAAACCCATAAAAGAGGTAGTAGCATAAAAAAAACTTGATTTTATTTCAAGAATTAGCACTTATATATTTTTTTCATACATTTTACTTTTCATTCATAAGAATTAGAAGTGTCTATTTTGGAATAACATTTCAAAACCTATGACGTCTCTGGGAATTGGGGACATCACTCTGGCAAGAAGCAATCAAAATGGACATAAAGAAAAGAAACTGACTTGTTTCTAAGGCGCCATGCTGAGGTCCACGATTAGAACCATTCCGTTATATAATGGTTCCTTCAGACAACTTTGAACTTTCACATCTCTCCTGGAATTGTTAATTTTTTTCTCCCTATGGTCCCCATGAGATGTTTTGGGCATGCCGATTTCAAAGCGTGCTTGGGTGTTCACTCATTCAGTATGTTTATGATCTCACTCGGTCCATATACAGTATCGGCAGAAGAAGCATAGCTGTCTGAGAAACCTTTTTGAGAAATGACCCATTATTAAAATGCTATTAGAAGTGATCCAAGGTTTATGGCCAGTCAAGACCAATGTAAACGTTTATGGTTAGAGTATAATGCATATTGCATGACACAGGCTACTCAATCTTTTATTGTATGATTTTAAAAATGTTATGTTATGTTTATCTGCAGAACACCTGAACAATTTGTTGTCAAATACATGACCAAGGTATTTCATAGGTAGCCTGCCCCTTCTGATAAATAGCCACCCACTAAAACACCAACTTCTCCCCCATTTCCCCATTAACAAAATACACGCCAGGGCGGTTCGGTCATGCAGATTTTTCCGCGCTGATATGCCTACATGAACAAACCCATACATTCCTGGGGACCGTTCATGCAATCGTGCAAATCGGAACGATCTGAACCGCCTGCCCCCCAAAAGGCTCCCTGAGCTACTTTTGTCGCGCCGATCAGCGCATTTCCCACATAGATTTCAATGGAAACGCGATAATCTGCGCATTTTTGGGCGTTTTTAATTGCGTTTCAGCGCAGAAACGCGATTCAAAATGCTCTTTAAAAAATCTGCAGAAACCGTGCTGAAATGCTACCGCCCTGGTGTGAATGGGGCCTTAGACCTGTGTGGAGTTTATAAAGGTAACATTAGCCTCTCATTAATTAAATACCAAAACATAAATAACAATGAAAACAATAATAGCAAAACATTAATATATCCATAGAAAGAAATAATGGCGTCCAGGTCCTTGAAGGCACCAAAATACCAAACCACCAAAACTTATGTCTGTAGCATCAGCCGCCTAATTTAGGTCCCCAGCCTCTGGGACAATATCTGTTGACTTTTGACCGTAGACACATACCAGCCAATACTAGGTGGTCAGAACCAGCCACCTTCAAGGACCCCAAACCACCAAACGATGCCGTGACGAAGACCAAATAATCTGAACAAAAACATAGGTCAGGTGGGAGGGAATCTATCATGATGTCCACAGCTTATCCAACTGAAATCCTCTTTCTCCTCACCATGGACCATCTATAGGAATCCAATCAGGTAAGTGACCACTACCTCTGAACTATCCGTGAATAGGTAGTTTAGCTCCATGTGACCTAGCTTCCCTTCTCACCCTGTCATGCTGGCCTTCCAGTCAATTCTCCCCTTTTTTTGCCTCAGGCCAGTCTCTGCAATGCCTTTTAAGGTCTAATGTCCCATGTCTAAAGGGTCTCTAAGTGTATATTGTATGGATTTTGGTTCATTACTTAATTTTCTGCTATATCAAAAAATTGATAGATTTTTGGGAGATTGCGTCATGAACAGTGTTGCCAGGTGCATCTTTTGCTTGATTCCCATGCCAACTTCCAAAAGGTAGTGGTGGATAGTGATACAACTATGATCAGTACATCTCTGCTGTGCAAAATAACCTAAAATTATACCTCCCCGCTACAGGTGACATCTCTGTCCAGGAGGCTCTTCGAGGATGCTCCACCAAAAGCTATTGCGATCTCTCTAAGCAGTCTGTGAAATCTACTCTAATGAATGTGGAAACGACCTATAGTTGCACACCGGGGCAAAATCGTACAGTCACTGCTCCACCTGATCCGGAAAATGAGGGCAACTCCAACGGTGGTCGCTATCCTTCAGTAACTCTTATCACTATGTTGTTGTTGTTTCTTCTTTGCAGTAAATGGTAAGAAATTAATTTCTGTGGTCTGCGTGGATTTTTTTTTTTGAGCTTTAAAAGGTATTTACAAGAAAAGTAGACAAATACTTTTTCTTAGTAGGAGAGATGAGTAGATCAAGCTAAAATGGAGATGGTGGAGGAGACTTCAGATGTTGGTTTAATGAAGAGACCCTTTAAGGTCTCTAACGACTTAAAACATTCAGGTTCCTGAAGAGATACATTTGTTGACCAGCCATTGGCCGGAGCAATAAAAATAAATATTTTTTAAGAAATGAAATACATTTTCCGGTGGGACCAGTATCTTGCATTGAAGGGGTCCCAATATTCCATGGCCATGTGCTTATTTTATGTGGTTGCGGATTGAAGTCAGACCACAAAAACAACATTCCCGTGCAGAATTTTTAAATGTTGCTGATGTCATAGAAATATCTTTAAAAAAAAAAAAACGATTTTCACACCAGCTGCTCTCTCAAAAGATGATTGAAAAACTGACTTTTGTTGAGACAGGTGGTGTCAACACGGCCAAACATAGCTTGAAATTTGACTTGAGTCAACAGTCTGTTTGGCCAGTTTAAGAGGTTATTTTGTTTCTTCTATACACAAATACATTAAATCAGCGGTCGCCAACTGGTGGTTTGCGAGAAAATGTTGGTGGTCCCCGGGCCCCTCTGATGCCGTGCAGGCTGGGCCATCATTGAAGCGGCACGGAGGCTCCGGGGCTGCCTCTCACTGACTCGAGCAGCGGCTGTCACAAGGAATGCGTGGCTCTCAGTACAGCGGGCTCTGCCGGAGGCGGGGCATCTCGTCAGTACCCGGACTGATCAGACTGCGGCCGGGGCGGGGGCGGCACTCTGTCATAGAAGCTGTGACAGAAGCTACAGTCTGTCGAGTGCTCCACTAACACATATGAGAATATATTTATATATGAGGGGGAAAAAATATGAGTATATACCAGTGGGGCAAAAAAGTATTTAGTCAGCCACCAATTGTGCAAGTTCTCCCACTTAAAACGATGAGAGAGACCTGTAATTGGCATCATAGGTAGACCTCAACTATGAGAGACAAAATGAGAAAACAAATCCAGACAAATCACATCAGCTGATTTGGAAC